CAAACGACTTAACATGTATCAAGCTCCTCTGGAGCGAACATAACCGAAGAAGTAGGGGAAACGTCGAGCGGATAATTCCGATGCTCAGGTTCGTTAGGATAGTTTCGCGACGTTAATTGGCGGTTCGTCGTCGGCTCCGGAACGAAAGTATTATCGAGCTGCGACGATCGTTTCGCGTGGATACGCGCGTTCGTGCAAAACGGTTCTCGTGCCGCTCCGTATCCGATAGATAGTCTTTATCAGAGGAGCCTGCGAAGTCCTCGGCGCATAACGAAAATAATGAAAGCCGCGCAGATCGTCAAGTGTTGCGTTTAACGATCGATATCGTTAAACGGATTCCGAAGCGTACCCCCGGCTCCCTTAAATCTGCATAAATAATAACCGGTGCGTTGCCGCGGACGGATATGTTCGAGTTATAAGGATACTTCGAGCTAGGAAAGTATGGTAGAACGAATGCGACCTGGAAATGAGGCTATCCTTCGTAATATTACAAGATGTTTTATGCATACGACGTTTCTGTCGTTTAAGAATTGTACATGATTTGTTCCAACTATTAAAGTCGTGTACGCATACAAAATTGTGCTTATAAAAATTGATTTCACTCTAAGCGAACGTGCATTCGTGCAGTTAATTATTTTCAAAGCTGTCGTATTGAACGCGCACAATTGATAGGTGATATTCAATGCGTTGCCTGATTCGAGATGAAGAGGAATGCGAGCAACGATCGCATTCGGTTCCCCGGCCGAGAACCAGAAAGAGCGACACCCGGGCACGCAACCTCGCCTGAGAAATAAGCAGGCACGATATTCAATAAATAACGAGACGCGTACGAGATAATTGGCCGGGCCATAATTGCGCGCATCTTGCGTTATTTCGTGCCGCGTCGGAAACGCTTGACCCTCGCCTCGCGCCATCATCGTCATGTGGTCCCTGGGCCGATTCTTCCTACCTACTTATCGTATACACAAAAGGGACTTTCGCGTGAGGACGCGCGCGTATCGGTTCGGTTTCCGGTGAAACCGACGCCGCCGCCGCGACAAACAAAAGCCTGCTGCGAGTCTCTCGCCCGCGGTCGTCGAATGTTTAAACAACTCCCATCATCGCCGCCCCTCTTCGGCCTTCCATCTTTCTCTCTCTTTGTCTCTCACGTCGTCCCGATATAGCTCTGTTCTTGTTCCACCCGTGGCGCACGATTCGTGGCGGCAAGAGCTCCTCTCTTTCCCTTCCGTCACTGAGCGCGGAACTCATCAACCACCTGTGTCCTCATCATCGACTTCGTTTCCGTGCGACCGATTATGATTATGTTCTGCGTGTCGTTATATTATTATATTTGCCGGTCTCGCGTTTCGGCGTCGAGCGATTATTGTCTTCCCGTGGCGAACACGGAACCGGTAACATGAATGCTCCACGCTGATTACAACCCTCTTCATGCATCGTCGAATAAAGATCGGTTTTCAACATTTTTCGTACAGTCATTCATTTTATTGAGCCACTTCTATGAATTTCCAATGAAACTTTAATAAATGCAAATGACATTGACAACAAAAACACTTCAATTCTGCTTCCGGATTTATTTTTGGCATGACAATTTCTTTAAGTATCACGTAGTGGATATTGCAAAAATGATTTTGTGTTGTACAATGAAATTAAAATCAAAACATATTTTTTGTTATTAACAATGAAATGTATTGCCTTTATCTTCTGTAAAACTCTGCGGAAACCTCAAACAAATGTAGAGATGCACATTTGTGTTACTATGTGGTCCCATAGATGTTTTATCAGCACAGAGGATTAAGACATCGTTCTATTTACTCTGTTTTGACAAAGGTGATACTATCTCTTGTATCAACACGTGCATGACTCTTTCAGTAAATTTTTTTTCGCCCGAATTCATTCATACTTAAATGATTATCCATTTTCAGATTGAATATTAATTTTACATTTAATGAATTTAAAATAATTATGTTTAATTCCAATCGTTATTATCATCGGAGGAGACCTGAACCCAGCTATCTCATACTACTTTATTAATGAAAATCGCTTTAATAGGAACACAATTTTATTAACCAACCGCACCAGCCCCGGTGCTTGTATTATTTAATCGAACAAAAATTACCGTGACTTCGCCGCAAGGTTCGAGCAGCCTTTGGCTGATAGGTACACAGTAATCAAATTCATCGATCGCATTAGCGGCAACAGTATTTCGCGGAAGAACCGCCACCGGCCTGGCTAAGGAAAGGCGGAATCGATATATCGGCTCAGCGCTTAACGAATCCTCCTAGAAATATACGTAGTCATCCGGGCCGTAGTCGTCACGCCATCAAATTCATTCGACGCGTTTCCCTCCGCTCAAGCGGTTTTCAAACGGCCAAATGTGATTAGCCATAAACGTACCCAGTTTCTAAGCAAACAATAACTCAGCTAATAATTCAAATGGTAGGATTGTATCAAAGATGTTTCACTGTTTGTTGGAATATTTATGTTACGTAAGTCGTTCTGTATAATTAGCGTAGAAGCAATTGTCAATTTTCTTTATTCAAACACTTTGGAATTTTGTTATCTTTACTGGGAAAGAGAACATTTCTGCAAACAGTATTTCCTAGAAAACATTCTTTACCAATCTATTTTACAGTGTCTAAGGAAATGATGAGTAATTTACTTTACTTCCTAACTTGTAATATTCATTAACGCGGGGCAGTTATCAAAAATTCGTTCGATTAAGATTTTATCGTGTAACGAGAGCTTCCTAGGGTAGCCGGCTGGATTTATATTGTGATCTAGCCTTGGAACTTTGTCCAGACCGATGTGATGATAAATTAGCTAGAAATAGGTAACGCCGGGCAGGTGATGTTAGATTGGCAGATGTTTTTGGTTACACAACAGTCCCGCCATAATCTATCCGGTAACGGTGTTACCCTCGGTCTTTTTTTTTTATACTCGCACGCCCACGCGCTGACGGTTACAATTTTAACGTCCCGCATTTAAGGACTTTTAATAAAAGAAAATTAAATACAGGTAGCTTCGTTTTTTATATATCTGTGTTAATTATTTTTAATTTGAAATTGATTAAATCTTATACCATAAACGCGGCTATAATGCCTCATTTTTTTCTTGCTACACATTGAGATTATGTTACTACACTCGCGTGTCTCTTAAGGAGTAGACTGCAATTAGAATATCGTTAGTTGCATCAAACTTGCAACGCGATGACAATATTCATACAGTTGACGACAAGGTACGTCGTTTAAGGTATTTGCAAATGTAGTTACTACTATGTTAGCCACGTCGGAATGCGAGATCGTACTTGTTGATCGAGCCTGCGTTACCGCGCTATCTAGCAACGTTACACGTTGTAAAACGTGGTCACGCAACCACGTTTGTGATATCTCTTTCAACCGTTTGTTAAACGCGTTAAGCCCGACACAAAAATACCATTTTCCAGATTTCATCGAAGAATCGACAAGAAACTACCAAGAAGTCCAATTAAGTAAATAGTTAATACAAAATATCTTCAGATTTCGATCTTTAAACAGTTTCTTGTTGGACGTTCCCACGCAAAAATCAGAGCAATTATTAACCCGCGATTCTGGGGAAGAACAATCATCGGCTGTTCCTCGCTTTAAGGCGCGTTGCTTTTATGGTCGCCGGATTACTGAGTTTGCACCGCGGAATTCTAACTGCGTTAGGGAAGGGAACGGGGGGGAAGCGAGGGAGGGATCGCGTAATATGTATCCGTGTATCACGATGTCCAGCGGCGCGTTTGCAACGTGCAACGAGACGGTGAGTTAAACAGGGAAAAAGAATCCCCTTGGGTAGCTTCCACGGTACCGAAGAGAGAAATCCTCGGTTCCGTCACCCCGCCTACACCCCCGCGCGGCACCCGAGCGCATAAATCCGCGTGCATATAACCAGCTCTCTCTCGCTCTAATCCGTTAGATTCCGCGAATACTCTCTCGAACCGCGAGGCCGCGATTTCGCGGTAATTGGGACTGGATGATTAGACGCACGCTCGTTGCCGGCAGGGAGCGCGCCTCGGTCTTTCTGCCGCGCTACGATTACTTCCGAAGGCGGTATCTCACGGTGATGATACCGCGCGATCACGCGTGTCCCGGTATTTTGCATTAATCAAACAATCGAATCGATTCTTTTCCATAAATTACATCCGCAGGATATCCCGATTGATAAAACTCACCGCTGTTTGCTTGTACGCACGTGTTTCAATTTCGAAACGCCAAGGACTTTAGAACAGTGGTAGACTGTGCGCTAGTTTTGCATTGTGGGAACATTTCCTTATTTACAGAGGCGGATAGTTGGACGTTTTATTGCTAGGAAAGGGGAGAGGATCCATAACGGGGTAGATCTAAACGTAGTTAATCGTGCGCATACAAGACCGTCATTGATAGAACGTCTTTCGCTTTCCGTGGACGCGTTTCTCTCCTTGCACTCGAAGAGAGACGTCGATATCCAATCGATAGATAAGCTCGTCGGGCCGCAAACACAGCTGGGTCCACGGGTACGGGCTCAGGTAATCCGAACACAGAGCGCCTTGTGTCGCCGAGACTTGCCACGGTTTTGTGTACCCACACGCCGCCGTCGCCGGCTTCATCCTCTGTACACGCAGCTTGCCGCGTCCTCTACGCACTTTTCGCTATCGTTCACCGTCGTCCTTCCTCTGCGGGCCGGCCTCTGTTTGCCCGGATTAACCCGTAGGCCATCTCGTCGTAATGTTCATCGCGAAATCATTCATAGTTTAGCCGGCTTGGACTGAATTCCTCTACATTCTGGAACACCTGGTGCCTATTCAAATTCGCGATAATAAAATTTCCAGTCACAGCGAGACAGCTGAATCAAATAGATTGTATTTACAGTTGCTTAATAATATAATAATATAATAAAAATATAATAAATAAAATAAATATAACGATAATATAATAACAAAAATATAATAATTTAATCATTGTTTGTACTAACGACGATTGCTTTTTTTTTTTGGATTACAGGTACGACCTGGGGTTGTGTCGGGATAGCCAGCAAAGCGTTTGTCAGCGGCAGTGGAGAGGAATCGAGTAGAACGGTGGATAGAGATCGAGCGAAGGGGGTGGGGAGCGCGACGTTCGGTGATAGAAGAGGAAGGAGGAGAAGAGGAAGTCGAGAGAAGAGTGTAGGCGCAGGCGCCGTGGGTGATGTGAGGCTGGCGCCCGCCTCACGTTTGGGGTGATGCCCTCCAGTGAGCCTCATCCCCCCCAGTACCACCTTCAGCACCACAATATTCCTCCCTCGCATCTTCAACAACACACGTCGGCCGCGATCGGACAGCATCAGCTCTATCAGCAGCTGGTGGCGGTCCATCAACAGCAGCAGCAGCAACAACAGCAGCAGCAGCAGCAGCCGAGACAGCAGCAACACGGCGGGCCATTTCAAAATTCCGCGTTCACGAAGCAGAAGCAGGAGATGAGCCCGGAGGAGGAGGGGGGTCGAGGGGGCGGGTCCCCCCCGGCAGCAGGGGCTGCGTTACATCAGCCCCATCACCCCCGGACGGCCAGTCCACCCTCGGGCACGGAACCCTGCACCCGTGATGCCATACCGACGCCTACACCGATCGCGGATACCACAACGACCACCACCACGACGACAATGACCATGCAGTCGCAGGGGCAGCAGCAACAGCAGCAACAACAGGAGCAACAGGGTCCGAGCCCTAGCCCCAGTCCAACCGGCGACGACGTGGAGAAATTCGACGGGAAGATCGTCTATAATCCGGACGGTTCGGCGTACATTATCGAGGGAGAGAGCGAGCTGAGCGAGGACGATTCGTTACCGGACGGCTGCATCGTGGACGGTCGCGGGGTGTCGGTACCCCACTCGCTGGTATTCCCTCAGATCGCGAGCGCGTACTACGTGTCGAGGCTGTACGCGCACCAGGCGTATCAGCAGCAACAGCAACAACAGCAACAACGCTCGGCGGCTCAACAGCACAATCCCGATCTTCCCGTGATGCACAGTTACCGGGTGATTAGTTACAGAAGCGCAGAAGGTAGCAAACAACCGCCTCCGCCACCGGCAGCTCCACCGCCTCCAGCGGCATCCGTACCCGTGAAACCGATATTGATGTGTTTCATATGTAAGCTCAGCTTCGGCTACGCGAAGAGTTTCGTCGCGCACGCTCAGGGCGAGCATCAGCTGACCCTGATGGAGGACGAGCGGCAGGTACTTTCGCATTCGACCGCGTCGGCTATCATCCAGGCGGTGGGCAGAGGCAAGCAGCCGCTGGTCAGCTTCCTCGAGCCCGTGACAAGTTCCACTTGCACGCAGCCGTCCTCGCAAAGTCAACAGCAGCAGCGGACCGAGTCCACTGATCACGACACGCCGACCACGACCAGCACGCCTGCCAGCACTCCCGGTGTACCGAGCAGTCCGCAGCAACAGCAGCAACAGCAGAGGCCGTCGCCAAGCACGCCAACCACGCCCACATCTCATTCGAATCATCCCCTCGCGTACAATCATCAACAAACTCAACAGCATCAATGGACCGGTCCTCAGGTTAGCGCCGCGTCTTGGGCTAAAGCGCCGGACGCCAGCATGCATTATACGTCACCACCGCCGCCCACCTCGTCGACCAAGGGATCACCGTCCTCGTACGCCGCGTTGACCCAGCAACCGCCGAATTTCCTCACAGGCACTACCATCGGCGTCTGTCCCGAGCATATGCAGGGGAGGCCGAGCGGGGTCGAGTGCCCGAAATGCGAATTGATCCTAGCCAGCAGCAGACTGGCCGGCCCTGGTGGCCCCCTAGCCGGCATTCACAGTAGAAACTCGTGCAAGACACTGAAGTGTCCGAAATGTAACTGGCACTACAAGTACCAAGAGACTCTGGAGATACACATGAAGGAGAAGCATCCGGAAAGCGAAACGTCGTGCATATATTGCATCGCGGGTCAACCGCATCCGAGGTTAGCCCGCGGTGAGACGTACACCTGCGGATATAAGCCGTACCGTTGCGAAGTGTGCAACTACTCGACCACGACGAAGGGCAACCTCAGCATTCACATGCAGAGCGACAAACATTTGAACAACATGCAGGAGCTTCAACAGGGCGGCGGCGGTGGCTCGGCCGCGAGCAATCCATCGTCGTCGCAGGACGCGCCGATGCCCACTAGGAGTCCGCACCATCAACAGAATCACAGTCCCCACATCGGCGGCCAGGCTGGTAGCCAGGGCAAACCGAAGCCTACGTTTCGCTGCGACGTCTGCAACTACGAGACGAACGTCGCGCGTAATCTGAGGATACACATGACCAGCGAGAAACACACGCACAACATGCTGGTGCTGCAGCAGAACGTGAAGCACATGCAGACTCTATCCGCGCTCCAGTCGCACCATCAACAGGCGCAGCATCACCATCAGCAGGCACAGCAGCAGCACCAACAGCAACAACTCGAACAATTATTACATTTGGGCGGCCTGGACAAACCTCAACACGCGGAAGCCGCTCTGGCCGACATGGCGTATAACCAGGCGCTGCTTATTCAGATGATGACCGGCGGCCAGCTACCGCCGCAGCTTCCGCCGGAGATCATGGGTGGCATGGCGAGCATGGGTGCCATGGGCAACCTTGGCGGCGACGTCGGCTTGTCGCCCGACAGTATGGATCCACCACCGGAGCCGGCAGACCCGGATCCCTCTCATTTGTACCACTGTTGCGTATGCAACAACTTCGCGACGGACTCGCTCGAAGCCCTCGGCCATCATTTGGCCGTCGATCGGACGAGGACGCGTGAGGGCGAGATCCTAGCGCTGGTCGCCGGCCACTTCGTCTGCAAACTCTGTTCCTACAAGACCAACCTGAAGGCGAACTTCCAGCTGCACTGCAAGACCGACAAGCATCTCCAACGTCTGCAACATGTGAACCACGTGAAGGAGGGCGGACTTAGGAACGAATGGAAGCTGAAGTACCTGGCGTCGCCCACGAGCGCCGCGCAATTGCGTTGCCACGCGTGCGACTATTACACGAACAGCGCTCACAAACTCGCGCTTCACGCGGCTTCTCCCAGGCACGAGGCAGCCGCGCTTCTCCTTCGTCATCTACTCGAGGCAAGCGCGAACGTGCCCTCCCAGGCGAAGCTTTATCACTGCGCGTTGTGCGGGTTCAGCGCGCGTCACCGGCTGCCGCTGCTCCAGCACGTGCGCTCGTTGAGACATCTCCAAATGGAGCAGCTGCACCAGCTTCACCGTCGCAGCGGTATACAGGGCAACGAAACTCCTCACACGGACATCGGTGACGTTTTTCAAGTTATGAGCGATCCCGACGCGCCACCCGCGCAACAATCCAGTCCCACTACGCCGACCACGCCGAATGCTACCAGTGCCAACAATGGTGAGCACAAAATTTCTAATCAAATATCATTATTAATTTATATTCTTGTAAGCTGTTTAATAGATGAGAACCAGAAGCTTTTATTTATCTTGAATGCGCGTAACAAATCTTATGCATAGGGCAAGGAAAGTATGAAGTGTTCAGTGTTACATTTTTATTTAGAAAAACAATGCGAAACAAACAATCGATTGCATTTATATTCTGAAAACGACAATAGAAATTAACGTTCAAATCGCTTGCTAACAGTAGCTTAATAAACGCGAAAGGGATTTGCGTGTAGATACGTGTTTCACGAGAGAACGCCTCCTTTTAATGAATTCATAATTTTCATCGATTATCGCGTAATTAAAGTGCAACGAGAATAATTTCTCGTGGCATATGGCGATGGCGTGTGCCCCGTGCACAACGGCGTGGCGGCGGTGTGTTATTATATCCGTGACCTGTACTTACGCGTATAAATGCAAGAGAAGGCATGCACGACACAATGCCGTTCAACCTGAACTCCATTTACTTTCTTCCATTTTGTCGCCTCCCCAACGTTTCATGCAGAGTTTTTCATACAAATTTCTGAATTCGAATTATGCCAAATTATGTTCAGCACAATTACTTTTTACATTTTCTTTTGTGAACTCTATAAGTCTTGTGGAAAAATGAATCGGATTTTGAATTTCGAGTTAAGTTCGAGATGTGATCTTTTTGATAACTGACTTTCGAGTTAAAACGATAAAGATTGACAACGAAGATCAGCAGTTGACAGTTAATTTAAAAACTGAGGCGATCGAGTACTTAGGACGTGACTACCGTTTCAAATTCGTATACAATAATCACACATAACGGGTTTTAAACATTGAAAATAAATCAATTGCTAAAACGCATTTGTTTTTTGTGAATGAAAATGATTATCTTACAATTAATTGTAAAAATGTTTATGTGTGAACTTGCTTTGGAGTAAGATAATAGTCTTCCTTAAAAATGCATGAGAGAATCTTATACTTATTAGGCTTGGTAGGAGTTGAGAATTGGAGTTAAAAGAGGAAGGAAATCGGTAAAGTGAAACCGTTGTTTTGCCCTTGCAACTGACGCCTGTTCGATCGACAACATAAAATGCGGTTTCGGACAATGGCAGACCACGCGAATAGGCGGTCTTCTTTCGTATTCCGCGTCTTTTACTTTCTCCTCCGGCCACGCGTTTTACCACTATCGTACCCGTCTCGTGGAGAACAGCCGATAATAATTTCGTGGATCGCAATCTGTAATTTCAGCTTGTATTGTTACGGCCGGACACGAGGAGGAAGCATCTGCGACCTGTGCACCGTACTTTCCGTCGTTACCAAAACTCCTTAATTTTATTACATACCAACTCCCAAACTAGACTTTGTTGTCTACGTCAATTGTTACACGGCAATCATACATTCAGTCGCTCGTTCCTTTTTGACATTTTCGTATAATAAATAAGGAATTGCATAAATTGAAATATAAAAATCATTTAGTGATTAATATAAAAATCTCACTTTTATTTAACAATTTATTTTGTCATACAGTCTTTAGAAAATCAATTCTAATAAAGAAACTTATACAACGCATTGAATAATCTCATTGAATAATAGTAACATACCACGTTTCTAATGACTTGGTCCATTGAATAATTTTTGATCAGACAATATAAACCCGAAACAAAGTGTAACACTGGACATGGTGTCGTCGGTGGAATAATATCGCTGTCATTACACGCGTCGTCGTTCACTTTCTCTCACAATATTGTCGACTTACCTACACGCGTTGCATGCAGCTGCAATGATTAATGACCGTTTTTTCGGGTCGTTCAGATTTTCGACGTCGATCGGCGATTTATCGGCGCCTTAATAGAAAGGAGAATTACACGTTCGCGTTATCGGATAGATCGTAATCGGGAATATGAAGGCGTGCAAAATATTTATGGTTCGCCGTTCATGGTAAATCTTTTCGATTAGAATTTGCTTTCCATACTACTTACACTTGGAATTTTCACTTTCTCGCTGTTATTATTTTTATTCAATCCGATTACTGTGTGCATTTATTGAAGTTATAATGTGTTAAGAAAATTCTGCATGCGACATTCGACAGCGCTTGTTTATTATCCACGCACATTGCCTGTTCACGGTTCGTTTTGCAGAACGACGCGAGGAAGGTAGCGACTGCGGCAGCGAGGTGAAGCAGGAACCGGACAACGACCAGGAACCGGAACAAGAGCCAGAGAACGATCAAGACGATGTCAGCTGCCCATATTGCACTTATCAGCCGACGTCGCGCGACGAACTACGGCAACATCTGCAAGTGGCGCACGTCCAGGATGCGGAGGATAAGGCAGAGGCTTGCGTGAAAGAAGAGCCGCCGCCGGAATTATTGTGCCCGTTGTGCCAGGACGGTTTCAAAGAGCGTTCCGCGTTGGAGAAGCACGTGATGCAGATACACTCGGTGAACTCGGACGGATTGCAACGATTGCTATTACTAGTGGATCAGAGCCATTGGTTGAACAACAACCCGAGGAGCACGTCGACGCCGGCCGTGACGACACCCACGTCGCCCACCACGACCACTAAACAACCGGCCGAAGAGGATTTAAGCGAGCGTGGCGCGAACGACGAGATCGAGGAGATCACGCGGTGCACCATCTGCGGGCGTGTATGTCGCTCGCTGGAAGAGCTGCAGCAACATCACAGGGAAACTCATCCGGCTACCACGCCGACGTTAGCAGTCAGCGAGAAACACGTGTACAAGTACCGATGCGGACAGTGCAGCTTGGCGTTCAAAACGTTGGAGAAGCTGCAACAGCACTCGCAGTACCACGCGATCAGGGACGCGACCAAGTGCGCGCTGTGCGGCCGTTCGTTTCGCTCGGTCCAGGCGTTGCAACGGCACTTGGAATCGGCGCACGCGGACTTGCACGAGGACGAGCTCGCGCAGTACAAACAGAGCCTGTTGCACGCGAATCCGCTTTTCCAGGCGCTCACCGAGGAAGCTCTGCGCAGGCAGGGTAACTTAACCGGGGAGCAGAACGTCGAAGACGACGCGAGTAAAGCAGATGAGGAAGAGAGTGACGCGAGCGACTCGTCGCCGTTGCACAAGGAACAGCGACTGCTGGAGGACTACTTAAACAGCCAGCCGGTTGCGGAGGATTCGTATCACGATCCCGGGAGGAAATTTAAGTGTCACCGTTGCAAGGTCGCATTCACCAGGCAGAGTTATCTGACCGGGCACAATAAGACGCTGCTGCATCGCAAGGGAGAGAAGATGTCCTATCCGATGGAGAAGTATCTGGACCCAAACAGGCCGTATAAGTGCGACGTATGCAAGGAGAGCTTTACGCAGAAGAACATTCTGTTGGTACATTACAACAGCGTGAGCCATTTGCACAAATTGAAACGAGCGATGCAGGAGCAGGGTAATAACAACACGTTAATATCGGTAGTTCCACCGGCGAGTCCGACGGAGTCACCCGACTCGCAGCAAGATCAGGATAAGAAACCGTACAAGTGTAACATCTGCAAAGTGGCTTATTCACAGGGTAGTACTCTGGATATACACATGAGGAGCGTTCTGCATCAGACAAGGGCCAGCAAGCTGCCGGATCTCGCTGCCAGTGGACAATTAGACTTAGCTCGTCCGTTGATCGAACAGCCACCACCTAGCAGTCCGAATAGTCCGCCGGTGAACACCAGTACATCCGGTAATAGCGGAACGATGCTTTCATGTTCACGATGCAGCGCTCTATTCGTCAATCAAGAACAACTCGCCACGCATCAACAGCTCTACTGTATATTCAGTAACCCGTTGGCTTTGTTTCAACAGCTGGCGGCGTCGCAACAGCTCGCCTCGTCCACGCCTTCATCCGCGAAAACGCCGCCACCAACGAGCACCACCCCCGGTCCCCAGCCTCACATGCAACAGAGCACCCAACACTCGACGCAAACGACGCAAGACATACTATCACAACCGCGGCATAAAACATCGCAAATGTACACTCACCTCCTGGAGAGCTTTGGATTCGATCTGGTAATGCAATTCAACGAGAATCATCAAAGGCGTCAACGCAAGGAAGAGGAAGCTGCTGCTGCGCTTCAAGCGCAACAGGAACAGCAGAAGCAGGAGCAACAGAAACAGGCGCTCGCCGCTCAGGCTGCCCGTGAAAGGGAGGAAGAGGCCGAGGAGCACACGGATGACGACGTGATACCGGAACTGACCAGGAGCACCTGTCAGCATTGCAATAAAGAGTTTAGCAGTGTCTGGGTGCTGAAGGCGCACTGCGAGGAGGTGCACCGTGATCTAGTGCCTCGCGAATTTTTAGAGAAGTACGCCCAACAGTTTAAATGTGAGTACGAGAAGAAGAGCGTCGTGGTGACCGCCGCGACGTCATCCTCTACGTCCTCCGGGCCGAGGAGCTCGACGCCGGCCAGCGGCCAACCACAGGATCTCACTTCGGACAAGGAACAACGTGATAAGGAGAAGGAGGAAACAGTTGAGAACAAAGATCGCGTCAGCAAGACTCCGGAGGCTACGTCAACGACTCCAGCAACGACTCCAGCACTCAGTAACACGCCTGTCTCCAGCACCGATTCAGCGACTCCTACGGTGTTACCGACGAATTCATCGCAACATCTTCAGCAACAGCAGCAACAGCAACAGCAACAACAACAGCAACATGCTCAGCTTACTCTGGCCCAGCAAATGACCGAAATACAAGCCGCGTTCAATGCCATGGCTGCGTCGCAGCTGCAACAACAGCTTCAGCAATACCCCGGGCTCATGATGGGCATGATGGGACTACCGCTCGGACTGAACGTCCCCGCTCTGGCTGCCATGAATTTGCAACCACCACTGGTACCGATGATGTTACCACCCCCGCCGTACGATGGAACCGCCACCGGATATCCGCCGATCAACGCCCAGGCTGATCTTCTGGCCAAACAGCATCTCGCCTTGCAGCAACAACAAGCAGCAGCCGTGAGTATTTTTGTTATACTTTTATTCGTAGAGTTATTTTCGCACACTTCACCTGTTCAGATTCCTTCAATTTTGTTACGTTCCGAATTTATTATATGAATTTCATTACCTATTATTTCATCTTGATATCATTCTTGACATGATTTTTAGACGTTTTATTTATTATGCAGAGAAATTATAATATTTTTTGTTATCACACGATTATTAAGTTGTAAAAGCTATTCATATTTTTAAGAGATATTATTTAAAGATCTTCGTTGTTAATTAATTTATATGCGTCCTCACTAACGCGTTAGTTTGCAATTCTAATTCTTTACAACATACAAAGTATTATAAGACTGCAGTGTTCTATCTATAAAAAAAAAAACAGAGCAATTAGAAAGAAACTATGTTGAAAAGTGAATAGCACGTCAGCGTGGTAAGCTGTAGACGAACAAGAGAGAAAGCATGGGCGACGGTTTTTCTTCCAGGCAAACGCGGCTGCCTCGCAGAAACGAGCGCGTACGCGCATTACCGACGAACAACTAAAGATATTGCGCGCCCATTTCGACATCAACAATTCTCCCGGCGAGGAGCAGATACTAGACATGGCGGCGCAGAGTGGTCTGCCACCAAAGGTGATCAAGCACTGGTTCAGGAACACATTATTCAAAGAGAGGCAGCGTAACAAGGACAGCCCGTACAATTTCAACAATCCGCCGAGCACAACGTTGAACCTGGAGGAATACGAGAAGACCGGCGAGGCAAAAGTGACGCCGTTAAACTCGAGCGTGTCTGGGAGTAGTTCCTCGGACGATAAGAGCCCGAACAAGCAGGCGACGCCTCCACCATCGTCGATCACCGTGAACGCGTCCCAGACTAGCGAGATTAAGCAAGAGGTGCAGGAAGTTCAACCCCAGTGTCACGTTCAATCGCAGCAGTCGCAACAACTACAACAGCAGCAACAGGAGGAACAGCAACATCACTCTCCCGGAAGTTCCGGCGGGCAGCAGTCCAGGCCGCATTCCCCGGCGCTGAGCATGAGCTCGGTTTTTTCCGGTATCCATCACGACGTCTCGTCTCACGCGACGACGACCAGCGCGCCTAGCGCGCCGATGCTCCCACCAAAGCTCACGCCGCAGAATTTTGCCAGTCCGAGTCCCAGCGCGAGCACCGTTGTTCCGGGCGCTATTGCCGCGATGGCGTTGACGCCGCAAAGATCTTTGAGCCCCGGCCGCGGCCCGACCGACTACTCGTTCGCCAGCAGCGGTAACGGCAGCAACTCGTCCGGCGGCAGTTCCGGAAAACGGGCGAACCGTACGCGATTCACCGACTACCAGATAAAGGTGCTGCAGGAATTCTTCGAGAACAACGCCTATCCGAAGGACGACGATCTGGAGTATCTGAGCAAACTGCTGGGGCTGAGTCCGCGCGTGATCGTAGTCTGGTTCCAGAACGCGAGACAGAAAGCGCGTAAGGTTTATGAGAATCAGCCAGCCGCCGAACCAGTGACCACGGGTAGCCGCGAGGGCGACGACGGTTCCGGCCGCTTCCAACGGACCCCAGGCTTGAATTACCAATGCAAGAAGTGTTTGCTGGTGTTTCAGAGATACTACGAGCTCATACGTCATCAGAAGACGCACTGCTTCAAGGAGGAGGACGCGAAGCGGAGCGCCCAGGCGCAGGCGGCCGCGGCCCAAGTCGCCGCGGTCCTCAGTTCCGAAGATAGCAACAGCAGCTCGGCCACTACCACCACCGCTGCTAACACGATGTCCAGTAATCAAGCGAACACTCCCGCCCTCGCGGAACAGCTACAACAACCGTTGAACGCTACCACGTCACCGCTCCATCAACAACAGCAGACGATCGGACAGTCGCAGCAGCAGCAGCAACAGCAGTCACAACAGCAGCAGTCTCAACCTCAGCAACAGCAACAGCAGACCGAGTCTAAGGAGGGTAGCTTTCAATGCGACAAATGCAACCTGATGTTCGGCCGATTCGAACTCTGGCGCGAACATCAGCTCGTACATATCATGAACCCATCCCTGTTCCCACCAGCCTATCCACCGGATTCACCGTTCGGAATACTACAACAACAAGCGCTGAACGCTACCACCGGAGTAGCCACGGACACTCCCCACCCGTTGATCGCGATGATGCAAGACAGGAAGAGGAAGTACGATGACGCCGACGAGGGATCCACCTGCGACACTCGCTCTAACTCCGAGCACAGCGAGCAGCCGAAGGACAAACGATTACGAACGACGATACTGCCGGAACAGTTAGATTATTTATATCAGAAATACCAAGCCGAATCGAATCCGTCGAGAAAGATGCTGGAGACCATCGCGCGCGAGGTCGGCTTGAAGAAACGAGTAGTACAGGTGTGGTTTCAGAACACCCGCGCCCGCGAACGCAAGGGCCAGTTCCGTGCGCATAGCCAAGTGATCAACAAGCGCTGTCCATTCTGTCCGGCTCTGTTCAAAGTGAAGTCTGCGCTGGAGTCACATCTGAGCAGCAAACACGCCGATCAGGTTGCCCGGGGTGAGGTCAATATCGATAACATCCCTGACGAGGAGCTGTCGATGGAGTCAGCTCCGTCGAACCAAGGCACGCCGAACATGATGCCGCCGCTGTTTCCACCGTTCAACACCGAAATGGAGGCCTCTTTAAAGAAGTACTACGAGGAGTCAATGAAACGATACATCAGCGAATTACAGGCGCATGCTAGCAATGGGAAGCAGGAGACGGCGAACCACCAAACCGCCGGTGGTAACAGCGGCGAGTCCCCGTTGGATCTGAGCAAGCCGGTCGATCTCAGCCGTCCCATGAAGCTGAGCCTCGGCGGGTTGAGCAATCTTCTCGATGAGCAGCACGTTGTGCATTTCCGCGGCGGCAGCGACTGCGGCCCGCTGACTGACCTCTCCGAGCGCAGCATCTGCGACGACGACAGCATGAGCGAGACCACCGAGTTCCTCGACGACGAGAGCGGACCAGCGAGCCCAGCGTCCAGCACGCAGAGCTCCAGGCAGGGGCCTGCGTCGGCTGGCACCGGAAGCACCACCGCTCCGCCGGTCGCCGGCACCGGAACCAGCAGCACCGGCCAGTCCAGCGGCAAAAGATATCGCACCCAGATGTCGGCTACGCAAGTGAAGGTGATGAAGTCGCTGTTCTCGGATTATAAGACCCCCACTATGGCCGAGTGCGAGATGCTCGGGCGAGAGATCGGTCTGCCCAAGCGGGTCGTTCAGGTAAGTGAGTTCACTCTTGTTCAGTATTTGCAAACGAAGTTCTATTCGAAGTATTATTAAATTATTGTAAACGTGAATCTTATTGAATTATGAAATAATTATTTCCAATCGAAATATATTATTAATTAGCTGATTACTTGGCGTTGCCCGAGTGTTGATCACTCTATGAAAAAATGGTGTGTATGTTATCCCAAAATTTGTTTAATGAAAGATTATCGAGTCTCCTGATATGTGTATATTGTAGGTAAATAGGTCAATACGTTACTACCGTATCGATTATATTATATGCAAGCATTATATTAAATATTATACATATTATTATATATATTATATACATCCATTTTCACATATATAAATTGTTTCTCATACGAATTATTCTTGTCAAATACCTTTCAGTTCTAATTGATTAGACTTTCGATTATTTAATTCTTGTCTTGAGTTGAAAAATTATAATATCGGATTGAAAACGTAGTATAATGGGATAGGGACAGGCAATGCACTAAATCAATGATAAAACGAATGAACATGTATTTGATATCAACAACTAAACAAGCAATACGAGAAATTGGGCTTAATCTAAATCACTTCTGGTTTTATCGCATCGACGTTCGTCGACGAGGGTTTCGCCTAACAGAGCCGATTTTCAGGTTTGGTTCCAGAACGCACGGGCGAAGGAGAAGAAAGCGAGACTGGCGGCGGGCCTGCCCGCCGAGGGCTCGGCCGTTCAACCCCACCGGGGACCGACCGGGCCTGACGAATGTAGACTGTGCTCGGTCCGCTACTCGGCCAAATCGCCGCTCCAAGAGCACGTATTCTCGCGACGACACATCGAATCGGTGCGTGTCGCCGTCGAGGAGGGTAGCCTCGTGCCGCCGACACCCGGTGCACCGATCGTTCCTGCCGGGAACTCGGGCGCAGCGGGGATCGTCGGCTCGCCGGTGGTTGGCCAGCAAGCGACCGGTAATCAACAGCAGCAACAGCAGCAGCAGCAACAACAATCGGACGAAAACATGATGTACGGATCCTTGTTCCTCCATCCAACGGCGATGTTCCAGCCGCAGCAACAGCAACACCCGGGCGCCGGGGCGACCAGCACGGCTACAACCACGGCCGGTGAGTGTCTGGCTGACCTCTTAGATTCGTAAACGAGCTGACACGCGCGTTATCCAATTCGAAATTCA